TGGCCTTCCCCCTCATCCTTACCCATAAACACTCGACCGTATCATCATCACAATCATTGAGCTCTAGACAATCGAAACACTCCCTAACATACAGGGCCACCCCACTGCCTCTCCTTCCTCGCCTGTCCCTTCTGAAGAGTTTATAGCCATCCATTGCAGCACTCCAATCGTGAGAGTCACCCCACCATGTTTCTGTGATGGCGACTAAGTCATATCTATCACACTGCACAATGGCTTCCAGCTCCTCCTGTTTGCCACCCATGCTGCGTGCATTGGGTTAGATTTTGTACTGTGCCCTGTAAATACCGCACAGGCTTTTCAACAGTTTTCAAAGTTTTCATCTAAAAATCAGATGAACTAACATCAGGTTGAAAAACAGTTACTCACCTGGAAATCTGGTTCAACCAAGGTGGTTGACAGCACCTTGTGCTGTCATTCCAGTGGAATGACAGCAATGTACAAAACAGGGAGTATAGAAAGTGAGCTGAAGTTTTCTCCATTGGAAACATAAAACATGGAGATCCACAGAAACAACTCAAGTCTTCCAAGGCAAGAGCTGTATTTATTAAAATGAAAGGATCACTAAAAGCATTTTAGCAGAAATATTCTTAACAGCTTACCCAGTTGTTTTTTTTGCCAGCATAGATTTCCATGTTTTCTCCATACTGGGGCTCTTCAAGTAAAGTCTGATATTCAAACATGAGACGAGAGCTCTCACGTAATCGGCTGCACTGAAATTGGTGATACTGCTGCACAAGCTCTTTCACAACAAGCAGGAGGCATTCAGGGTTTGAAGGATTCCAAGAAGCTAAATTCTGTTGAATTAGAAAAGAACAGAGACCAAAATTGTTTACAGCGATAGAAAGACAAGCACTCTCCCTTCCCTACTGATACCAGAGGCACATATGCATGTGGAATCTTTGTGACAAAGCTAAACCATAATATTAAACGCAAAGGTTGTATCATGCTTTGGAAGAAAACCAGGTCAAACAGCAAAAGCAAGCCTTAATGTCAAATAAGAGTCCATATAGGGACCTACCAGAAAACTGATAACAGGGCTACTACCAGGCATAGATAGGCCCAAAATATCATTCTATTCTTCCCTAAAATTATACTGTTGCATCTGAGAACTTGAAAAGTTTGAATTCAGAAAGTTAAAACTGAAACAAAACATACAAGGATCAGGTAAGTAGAACCCTGCAGAGTATCTGACTCAAACAGCAGTCAGCCAAGCGAATACGCCAAATTAACACCAACTAGGGAAACTACTCTGCTCCATTATTCAAATAGTGGATATAGTATTGACAGTGATGGAGCAAACGGATTCTCTTCCGTTGCCTCAACCTTGTGCTTTACTTCACCTTGACTGTCTCTTCACTAGAGTTACCTTGACTCATCCCCTTAACACAAATGCCATCCATACACAAGTCTCTTCAATGTGCCTGGCAGAAGCTTTTATTACAAGTTGACTGTATATCAAGAAACAATTAACAGAAATAAAAATGTTAATACAATGAAGGTAACTGTGTCAGTAGCACAGTAGCAATGTTATCTCTCAGTTTAACTACTCTAACATTGGCTTAGACCACTCTTCCATGCACAGTAAGTTTTATTCAGAAAGCTTTTCTGTGTTACAAACCATACCTAACATGACCAATGTTGCATGCCTACATCTGGTTGTCCTAGAATGGACCTATGTTAGGGGCAGATGAGGACTCACCCTGTACTCCATGCTGATAAGACACGAGACAGTTCTGATGCAAAAGTACTTAGGTCCTCATATGCTTTGTACTTAGGTCCTCAACAGGTCTTCTTGATACAAGCTCAGGGCATGTTAACATAGTCACGCGGCTTTTGGTCAGCTTTGAGTATAAGCAAAATTAATCTCTATTTCTGTACATCACATAGACATATGACAACAAACTAGCTGCAACAGGATTTTAAATTGCATGGATTGTACAGTTAACATTAAGATCCTTAGAACTGGCAAATATGTCTGCATTTTACAACTAAGTGAAGATATAATATAGTAGCTTCAAATAAAATTACTTATCAGTACCTGAACTCAAACAGATGGCATGGTTACTTTTGTCCTGGAAGTTGCAGACATTTCATAAACAAACTGTATGTATAATTTACATTCTTCGGCAAGGACAAAAAAAGCATTAGCCCTTTTTTACCTCTTCAGTGGAAAACCTGCTTTGGTATGCAGCATTTTCTACAATGAAAGGACAGAAAATATTCCTGTACTTTGAAGTAGCTATTTTAAGACTGCCTTGTATTCAAACACATAAAAAATGATGTTTCTTAACCTAGGTTAAGTAAATGAATGAAGCCGGATAAAAAACATGTCCCCTAAAATATACAAGCTATTTGTATTTTGTGTAACACCAAAACGAATAAATGCAAGTGAACAGATTGCACAGAGAGGTTGTCAAGTCTCTGCCCTTGGAGATACTCAAAACCCGACTGGACAAGGTCCTGGACAGCCTGCTCTATCTGATCCTGCCCAGGCAGGGGGCTGGATTAGATGATCTCTAAAGGCTCTTTCCAACCTCAGCTATTTTTTGATTCTATGAAGCGGTTTACAAAAAGCTCAATCTGAAACAGAGGATCTTATCAAGATGAGACTCCATAGTTCTGACCCGAAAACAAACTAATAGTTGTGTACAAATTTTATCTTCTGATACTCTGGAAAGGTAGATAGAAAGCTTAATCCGTTATTCGCCAGGCACCATACATTCAGCTCTACAAAGAAAGCTGCTTGTAGCCTAATCTCTAGCTGTGTGGCTATTTCCATTAAAAAGACTTATAATTTTTATTCTCTCTGATGATTGTAGTTCATGATATATGCCTTCAGAATGGTTTTATACAGACTTTATATGTGTATGACGGCTTAATACTTAAAGCATTTCTCTTTCCACAACTTTATATTTGTTTCCCTCTTGAAGTCATACATGTTAAGATGTTATCAAAATGAATTTCTCACTTTCAGCACCATCGCTTAAAACATACAAGTCTAATTTGTCAGTGAAAGCAACATGAAATATGTATTGCTTCCTTGAAAATCTTTATTGATTTTTTTTTCCCTCCAAAACAAGCATGTTTACTAAGGCAATTTTATCTCAAGTCTTACCACATGTTGTTTTTTCCAAAGTCCTCAGTGCTGGAGGGGATAAATTTTAAAAATATTTCAACTACATTCTACCCATCTCCTCCACCCCTTCTTATTTAAGTTAATAGCTACCAGAGAGGCAAAGAAATCTGTGTATGCACTACCTACATACAGAAGAAGAGAGACAAAAATAAAAGAAATACAATTTAGACATACAATCCTTTTTCTATCTCAAACATGGTTTTTAGGCCACTGTCATGACTTTCAGCAACGATTCATGATTTTTGAATGACTATGGCTGGCACTGCTGCATTAACTGTCTACGCGTCACTCATTCCTGTGATTAGGATGAAAAACACATTCCTGTCACACAAAAACGATTGGGGGAAACAGAGTTTTGGAAGGTGGTGCTCTCATTCTTCAGAAACATAAGACGTTGTTCTTGCTTTGATAAAAAAAGAAAAACTTATAATCTTAGAGTGTGGATGGAGCACTTAAGGGAACACTTACCTCTGGAGTACAGATTTACCTCTAGAGTACAGATTTGAAAAAGACCTGATGTTTACGTAATTTACAGATTCACCCAAGACTGACAGGCTCAGCTTAAGAAACATAACAGGACATAACTGCTGATTATGATTTGCTTTGTTTTATAGTTCATTGAACAGTTCAATGAACAGTTACAGGATTAAACTGTACTCCTATTCTCCTGCTGACTATAATTCCGGTAGAAAGGGCTGCTCAGCATGGCTAAGATGCTATCCTTGAACCTCTGCCTTTAGAAGCTACCACAGTATCACAGACTTCACATTTGACCATGGCTTGAAGTAAAAGTACTCTGCTTTTTTTCCTCCTAGACAGTAAGAACACCTATAAAATGGGATTATCATCACTGCCATATCTTAAAAGCTAAACTACATTCCAGACTAATTTGTGAACAGGTGAGATACTAATGCGGTTCACGTAAGTTCCTCAAATACATACTACAGAGTGACTGAAATCCTTGTTCTACCTTGTCTGCCATCTACAGCTGGTAAAAATTTATTCCCAACTTGAACCCATTTAAGCTTTTCCAATTCTACAAAATACTAGAGAAAATTTGTCAGGTAGACAGCGTCTTCTAGGAAACACATGTTCTATCATGCAGTCTGAAACCAGACTGTGTATAACCTTAAATTTCCTGTTCCCAAGCTGCTGCTCAAATAAAGCATTTCCAGAAAGCCAGAGGATGTAATATGCCAGTATGTATTGATATCAGCCAGACTAGTGGGAATAACCTTTCCTCCTAATGACATTGGTATAACACAATAGAAATGTTCTGTCAAAGGAAATGACCAACAATATTTTAATAACTGACTTAAATGCAACCAAACCTTTTGTTTTTTAAATAACGTTACACTACAGAGCAAAAAAAGAGCAAGAGGAAATCCATTGTCGTTTGTCCAGCATGGAGCTCGAGTATTGCTCTCTTCAAAGAATTCAAGAACACAAGAACAAAGCTACAGGAATCAAAATGAATTATTTAACTGTAGGACCCTTACTAAATACCTTTCATTCAGTAACTAAAGATTCAAACAAAGTATGAACTGGCTGTAAAAACAAATCACCTGGAGAAAAATTCAACTACCCACCCAATACATACATCAATTACAACGGATTCTCACTGATTAAAGAGTAAATATACAATAGTTACATAAATTTTCTGTAACACAAGTTCTGATTTAAATAAACATTAATTTTTAACTTTAGAATTATATTATTGTAGTGCTTGTTATTTGGCAATTGGCCATCACATTTCTAGCCATTTTGTTAACTTTGCAGAAGTGCTGTTCTTTTCAGAAGGTCTAAATTGATAAATTTTAACACAAACACTTCTGAATACAATGACATATCTATGGATGAATTTTTTTTTTTTACATATCTTTAAGTGGTGCTTATTTGCCCTAAGCACTAGGTTCATTCATCTGAAAATACTGTTAAACCATTTTGTGATCCAATTTCAACAGTACGTCAAAATAAGTGCTACATTGTTCTCTGTTTCAAACGGTACCTTCTTCAATCTTCCCTCTATTTTTGAAATCAAAGACAAAGTAAGCAACTACCTGTAACATACATCGTTGAAACCTAACTAAAGCAGAATTTGATGTTTATCGAGTTGATTCCTTGTAGAATGTCTTAACTGCTACAATTTCAGCATTATAATGATTCTTCTGAGAACATGCAAGGATTTGTCACTTTAGCCAATGAGAGTAGTGTCCCTGCAACAGTAAATTGACCTCCTCCTTTAGAAATAAAGGATCTTCTAAATAAAATTTTATTTAGCAATGCAGTATTGTATACACTATTAGACTTTGGAAGTTGTTTGATTAAGCAAAATCTTTAACTAAAGGTTTTGGAGCAAAAAAGAAGGAGTAGCAACCTGTGCGCTTCATTTTCTGATTGCCTGAAGGCTGTATTCCAACCCTAGCCAATACAGCTTTTTAAGAAATAGTATTTTTAAATATTTAAAACATTAGAAGAACAGAGTGAGCTTCCAGCGTTTCTGTGTTCCATGGCTCCAAGTTTTGCCACAAAACTCAGATCTTGCGTAAGAATTATGCTCTGAACGCAACTTCAAAATTATGAGATTTAGTTGTTACGGCTTCAGAAAAACCCTGGAAATAGGAAAACACATATAATCTCATTTCCTACAGCCAGACT